ATCGGTCTTTAATAGTCTTTCCCATCATTGTTGTCACTCTTAGGTATCGGCCAAAACTGCTCATGAAATCAATGACATTCTTATCGCTATACCACTCACTGTTGCGACAAATCCTTCAATACATAAATCAATCGATACTTTAAATGCAAATCAATTGAATGCCTAAACTTAATAACAAAATCAATACATAAAGTCCTCGAGTCTATCGTTTCTGCCTTTGGTTTTCCAGAAGTATTTCTTGTGATTTTCAAAAATCCTTTTCACACTCTTCTCAATACTCGTCGCATAACTCATAACCACTTCCGTCTCAATCAGCGGCCGGTCTTCAGTCTTACCGCTCGGGTCACCGATTCTGGCGGTCGAGTCGCCTATCAGTACAATAACTCTATGCCCTAATCGCTGCAAATGAAGCAATGATATCAACACTAATAGGTTCCCGACGTGAAGACTATCATAAGTGGCATCAAAACCCGCATAAATGGTCCGTTTGGATGACAACAACTCGTTTATGTCTTCTCTAAGAAGTTCACAAACTTTTTATCATTGATTATCACTTAAGAGGTCTTACTTTTCTGGGAAGTGACTCTTCAATATTCCTCGACTTTGCATCCAATCGTATGAATTGTGGTTCAGACATCGGATATGATAATAATTTGGACACAAATTACTCTTTTTGGTCATCAATTGATTACATGTTTTGAGTGATATTTGGTTGTGTAATGAAAACCATAGTTTATGTCCACTCGTGAACCTACAGACAGACAACTCGTGTAATTAAAGCATAGTTTGTGTGATAAATACAAATGAAAACTAAATTAAATCATTGAAATACCTGTGAATAACATTTGAACACATGTTTGGCATTTACGGCACAAATGTATACAAAAATAATTGCAATGTTTTTGAACCGAAAACTTATGCAATGTTTTGGTTTGCATTGAGTTTGCGCTCAAAAGTGCATTCAATTTATCGATTCATTCATTCATTCAATGATTTTATTGCCAAAAATCATTGCATTTGTCATTTGAATCTGAATTAAAGCACCAAATAATCAATGAATCCGTGAATAGATCTGAAGAACTGATGCATAACTGACATCACTGTCAATACAGAGACCAATTGAGTGATAATGAGTCCGAAGGCAACGTTTGTTTTGATAAATTATGTCTTGATATTGATCTCATTTCGTGTCAATCGCGTCCATTCCTCCGATGGCTCAGGAGTTCCCGTCTTTATATGGGGTACTCATCGGTAAGTCTTGTCCACCGTTTCATTGAGTATTATCTGTGAATCCCATG